TGAAATATTGACCGGTTTAGAATAGTAACAGTCAGGGCCTAAACAAGGATTCTTTCCGCCCTTGGAAACAATCCATTTTACCGCCTCTTAATGAATGCAAATACATTCCCTCAAAGGTTTATTCACTAAACTCTGAATTGCAGTGAAGAGACATTTAGGGAAAGAGACACACTGAGTAGACATTAAAGGGAAACTACAACAAACTTGTTTTCCTGGCACTATAGCTTCCCCCTCCATCAAGCGGTGGAGAGCAGTCCCTGAATGGCTGCACTGGAGGGAACCTTCCTGGTGGGTCCCCTCTGCAGGTTGGCGCCCCAGGCTAATGACTTATTCGCCTTATGGTAGCGCCAGCCCTGATAGCAGTCATAAGGGGTGGATTTCCTATTGTCCCTATGTGCATCTGCAAAGATAAAAACATAACATAACCCAACCTCCACCCCCCTTATAATTTTACCAAACCTCCCTTATTATAGCAATGAGAAACAGACAACAGATGGAAGGTAAAAACCATAATTGGTTGCTTTCATTAACTATAATGAAAAGGCATCCAACATTTAACCAACAAATTAAAAAACAAATACTAACACAGAATAACTGACTAGGGTGGAAGCACTGAGGCCCTAACTAAATGCCTCAGACCACAAGAGGATGTGGCTCCCACCTAATCCTGCAGCAGAGCCCCAGTGCTTCTTCCTAAGGAGAGGCATAATGGAACGCAGGGGAGATCTTCTGGCCAAGCACCTCACTGAGATATTCTGAAAGGGCTCTAAACAGGCTACACCGGGAAGGGAGAACGCCTGTCCTCCATCTCTGCATCACCCTGGAGCTGGACCTTCTCGGAGGAGAGGGAAACAGGACATTACCCTTGCTTAACAGAGCAGTGGTGCTGCCAGGCAGAAGTAACTGACAGCTACCGTAGTAGAGTTGAAAAACTAAACTGGGCACAGACTAAGCAGGCATTGCACCCCAACTAAGGAGAGGTAAAACTCAGTGCCACCACCACAAGCAAACCCACTGCCGAAAACCCAGGGCAGGAAGGGCGAGAAAACCTGAAGGAGAAGCAGAGAGAGATGGGGAGGCTAAAGAGACCCCCGATAATGTATGAAGAGGCCCCTCCCTCCTGCCACACAGTAACCATGTAATTGCACTGCCCTCCAAGGAGACAATTACTTAATTCGTTACATGCCCACTAGGGGGCCTTCCATTCATGCAGTATTGAAACAAGAGACTAGTTTGTGATACGTGCTAGAACATTCCCGAGCAAGCAGGGATTATTGACACACAAGCCGTTATATGTTGTTATAATGGTGCCTGTGCTCACGTTACTTCGCCATCCTACACATAACATGCCACCAGGAACGTCTGACACCAACCATTCCAGTCAGACAGAAAGGCATCCAGCGTTAGCAACACCAGGCATCCAGCGTTACTGGAAGACACTGTATATCAGGGTGACTCTGTGTGAAAACTACACTGTCACAAGCTGCCGCCAATCCGAGACTCCCGAGTCTTACCATAAACACCAAGTATAACAGCATGGAGTAACTCTACTTAACTTCTAATTCCTTTTACACCATGCAAGACGCCATACGTGATTCACAGCGTATTCTGTATGCTGGTTCCTGATTCAATATTCTGACCCCATTGAAATGCAATACCTGGTTAATATGTTCATTCTGAGATTTTCCTGTAGAGTAAGACCCCTCTAAAATTAACACCTTGTACTGTCTCTGTGGAGACAAGTTGGACTGCCGTCGTCTCTGACTGCAAACTTGGTGGAAATGGTGAGCGGATAATAGTGAATTAACCTGATAATATATTGGGCAGAGCCCTCTCCCCGCACCCCAGCGTTTAACTAGATCATCAAGCTCAGATCCAGCACAGATCAGTGTCGTCAATTTAATGACCTTTCTCTGCAATCAGATTTACTTTGCGAATTCCATCTCTTTCTCTTATAATAATGTCCACATACAGGGAAATCTCCTAGCTCACAGCAATCAGACTGAACATCTCTGGTGATTTCCATCCACTTTCCATTATATAAATCAATATTTAATAATATTACTTGCACAGGTCTCTGCGTATTATTTAATTGGAGAGAAAAGTAGAGACATAGTCAAAACACGGAGCGTGGAAGTGTTACACAGAACACGGCTCTGAGAGATACTTTCCAGGTATTCGAGAAATATTGTCACTGTAAAAGAAATGAAACTGATTTCACTTGTTTTATCTAAAGGGGGATTTCAGTTTTTGTGCTAAGGTAAGAATAAAGTTTTCCTTTATTTTTTTACTGTTGGCATCTAATTCTATCTTTGTATCAAAATTTACAACCCCCATACACTCTGCAAACCTAGTGGGTTACAGGAGCACAAACCCATGGCTAATGTGGCTGTGGGATAACTTCAGATGGTACTTCAAAGGCAAGTAAGTAACGTTAAAATACAAATTTTAACTTAACTTGAGTTATTATCAGACAAAGCTCTTCCATGTGCCAACGGAAACAAAAATGGGCCATTTCATGGGAATGTGATCGATTCCTGTGAAGAAACTAATTAACAAAGATTCTCAGAGACCTGTTATTAGTATACAACATGGACAGGTAGAGGTGGGAAGTGGGGCCTGGGCTGGCATGGTGCGTGCCAGTGACAAACACTTGTGATTGGGATATGACAGTGACACTTGAGATAGGTGTGTGCCTGTGACACATAATTGTGATAGGGGTGTGACAGTGACACTTGTGATACAGTCATGCTAGTGATACACACATGTGATAGGGGCGTGCCAGTATCAAACACTTGTGATAGGTGCGTGCCAGTGACACACACTTGTGATAGGGGTGTGCCAGTGACACAATTGTTATAGAGGTGTACCAGTGACACACACTTGTGATAGGGGTATTACAGCGACACTTGTGATAGATTATGTTATTTGCATTCAACATAGACAGGTAGGGATGGGAAGTTGGGGCTGGGCTGGCATGGGGTGTAACCGTGACAAACACTTGTGATAGGGACATGCCAGTGACACACTTTTGATAGAGGTGTGACAGTGCCACAAACTGGTGATAGGGACGTGCTAGTCTATACGTGTACTGGGCTCCTGAGTGATGGCCCAATCCAACATTCCTTTTAGAGAGCATTGAGAACCCGATGAGCATGTGTGGTGAGCACTGCGTACGCAGATAGTTTTCCCATCTGAGAATATTGTATTTACTGCTGTCTTATGAACTTTTTTGTCATGTGACTATGTTTTCCTCGGTCAGTGCCTCACTGGACTCACCTTCAGTGGCTTTCAGTATGATGTGGACTTAAGCCAGCAAAATAAACATTGCAGTTTGTAAAAAAAGGCAGTGTTTTACATTTCATGGGTTAAAAGGTCAGTAACACTGCACCCAGAACACTTCGTTCACATTGCTAATTCATTATACAGGTATCAGCCACATGAGACCTGTGAGATTGTGGGATGGCTCTGTCTCTTTTGGAGACGGCTACAGCCTTCTATTTCATGTGATGATGCCATGAGTGTTGAGCAGGGCCGGACTGGGGATACAAAGCAGCCCTGGAAAAAAAATTTGTGCCAGCCCCATAAGTCACTGCGCCATATATTGTCGCGTGTAATATGTAAGGCTATGTCTTGCCAGGACAGATGATTGAGTAATATATATATATATATATATATATATATATATTGCTTTTTCTAATATAAAATATTGGTCCTTTCAGGGTAAAACGTTTAATTATACGGTAAGCATACGCACATGCAGACACAGGCAATTTCACTGACATTTCAGTGACACACACAAGCTCATTGATACACAGCCTCATAGACAAACAATCTTACTGATTTTTCAAACAAAGAAAACTTTGGAAGAAACATTAGAGCCAACTGAGGAAGCCTGTTAATCAGGCGAAACGCGTTTTGGACACTCATTTTCAACTTTGATAGACTTTTTATTGGACTATATCTATACCTAATATATATTGGTTTAGTATATTGCCATTTTGTTATTTTATCTACAAATAAACAAGAATTATTTTCCAAGATTCCTGGCATACTGAGCATCTTTTGAAGACCATCAGGAGAAATAACAAGCAATCAACAAAAGAAGGGTTTGGACAACCCCCTAATGGTCCAAGAGAACATACTTTAAGAGTCATATGACGGTATGACTCTATCCTTGTGAGTGCTTTTATTCTCATTTTTTATATGCTATATATTGTATAGATATACTACGCTATTTGCATATATTCTATTTTTCAGATTGTTCAAGATACTCCACAGCTCCACCTATAACTCTGTATGTATTATAATCTTACTGATATACATCAGCTCATTGACATAAAAACACAAGCTCACTCACTAGCAGGCACACGCATGCAAGCAAGCTCACTCACTAGCAGACGCACACACAGCTTAATGTGGTGGTACTGGTGTCTATAGCATGTCCCTACAGGTTTTTCAATGTAAACACTGACTTTTCAGAGAAAAGGCAGTGTTTACATTGCTTCAAAGTGACACTGCTAGTGACAGTCACTCAGACGGTCACTAGAGGTGCTTCCTGTGTTAGTGCCCTCCAGCCCTCGCGCGCTGCTGAATGAGACTGGCGCCGGAATATGACGTCATATTCCGGCGCCGGTCTCATTCAGCTGCGTGCTGGGGAGCAGAGCCAGCGCAGCTCGCGCAACTCCCTCAGCGGCCGCCAGGACAAGTCCGCCAGCGGCCGCCAGCGGCCGCCAGCGGCCGCCAAAAGACCTCCCCAGCGGCCAGGGGAGGGCTGGCAGCCTTAGGCCTGGGGGGCAAAACCAGTCAAGTAGACTGGTGCACCTGCCCAGGATCAGAGCCGGTGCAAGGATTTTTGCCGCCCTAGACAAAATAAAAATTTGCTGCCCCCACATGTCACATCACAATGCCCCACCCATATGATCTGCAATATGAACTAACGCCAGTGCTGCACACAGTGTGTGTTTACATTAAAAAGCCTGCAGGGACCAGCTATAGACACCAGAACCACTTCATTAAGCTATAGTGTCCCTTTAATGTGATGTAAATTATAGATTAGTGTCACTAATAATATACTAGATTGCCTACTTACAAGCAGATGAGGATGATGATGGGCTGCAGTTTGGCTCCACTGGTCTGGTGTAGAACAGGATCTCTGGAGGCTGTTTGCAACTGTGGTCACAAAATTCAGTGTTCTGGGAGAATTGGAAGCAGCTCAATTTTTTGGGGACCCTTACACAGCTCAAGGTCTGGGCCCCAGGGCCTGACGGTGAGTATGCCCATAAGGCCCACTCATAAGTTCCACCCACCCATGAGTTCGCTCACAGGGAGTGGAGTGTGTAGGGGATGTGTTATGTGCTATTGTAGAGGATCTAATATGTGTGCTTATGGTATGTAGTGTATAGGGTTACCAGTTTGTGCAGGTGATGTAGTGTTTTTGTGTGTAGTGGAAGCAGTGTGTATTTGTGTATAAGGGATGTATATGTGTTTCTGGTTGTGTGTAAGGGATGCATTGTGTGAATCTGTGTTTGTATGCATAAGGGATGCAAGGTGTGTGTCTGTATGTGTGTGCATGAGATGCATTGTGTTTCTGTGTGTATGTAAGAAAAGAAGTGTGTGTGTTTGCATTGTCTGTTTCTGTGTATGTGTGCAAAGGATGGATTGTCTTTATGTGTAAGGGTTGCATTGTGTGTGTGTGTGTAATGGATGCATTGTGTGTTTCTCTGTGTGTAAGGGAAGCATGTTGTGTTTCTGTGTATGTATAGGGATGCATTGTGTGTGTGTGCGCGCGTAGTGTGAAAGAGCTCCCTGTCTTGGCCCCTGTCCTATAGAGCTGCCCCTTCTTCTTATTCCCCCCCTCCCCTCTTCTTATTCCCCCCCTCTTTTTATTCCTCCCCTCTTCTTATTCCCCTCCCCTCTTCTTATTCCCCTCCCTCCCCTCTTCTTATTCCCCTCCCTCCCCTCATCTTATTCCCCCCTCCCCTCTTTTTATTCCCTCCCTCCTCTTCTTATTCCCCCCTCATCTTATTCCCCCTCCCTCTTTTTTCCTCCCTCACCTCTTATTCCCCCCCTCCCTCTTCTTATTCCCCCCTCCCTCTTCTTATTCCGCCCTCACTCTTCTTATTCCCTCTCCCCATCATCTCCCCTCCTTTTTATCCCCCCTCTTTTTACCCCCCTCCCTATTCTTACCCCCTCCCCTGTAGCGTGGCCGAGCTGCACTCCGGTCCGCGGTGGCCGGCCGGAGGCACACTGAGTGTGCACTTCCTGTCAGTCCGGCCGGTTACAGGAAACAGAAACTCCGCGCGGAACAGGAGTTTCTGTTTCCTGTAACCGGCCGGACTGACAGGAAGTGCACACTCAGTGTGCCCCTTCCTATCACTCCGGCCGGCCACCGCGGACCGGAGTGCAGCTCGGCCACGCTACAGGGGAGAAGCTGCAGCCGCCTGACCGCTCTTCACAGAGCGCTCAGGCGGCTGCAGTATTTAAAGGGCCGGCCCCAGGTGCCGACGGCCCACCGGGAAATTTCCCGGTATCCCGGTGGGCCAGTCCGGCCCTGGTGTTGAGCCATTTAATGTAGTGTAGGTTCACATATAGTGGTACCCTAGGGTGATTTACCCAGAATGCACTGTGTTGAGCTTTTGTGCTTTCTTGGTTACCATCGTTCACTCTGTTTTTGGTTTGACTGCCAAATCATTGTCCAACACGAAAGTCATAATGTGGAGTCTGAGGAACAGAACGACAGGCTAATGCTGGAGAGATAAACTATTACTTTAAAGCTTTTAGTGGTTCTAAAGTAAGCTGGATAAATGGCAGAAACCACTAGCGAAGGCTCCAGGGTTCACATCCATTACATTAATAAATGAGAACCGTCTAGATGGGAACTAATACATCTAACAACAGAGTAAGGTAAGATAGAAAAATAGGTAAGGATCCATCGTAACACTTTACGTGATCGATAATACTAGTGTAACAATATTTGGTAAACGGAGCGTCTTTGCAGAGTGCTTTGATATAACATAATACAATGTTTGTTTAATTGTGAATTTCTGTCGCTGTTACACAGTCTCTATATCTGTTACTAGAAATATGTTATTCTTTATATGTCATAAATGTAAGATGATTTCTTAAATATATTTGACTTTTGCTAATTCCAACAAAATTCAAAGGTTAAATATTTTCCTTAAAGTGGAGTTACCAGACTTGTCCTTTAGATTGATTCAAACTTGATTGCCCTCAAATAGGTCACGTTCAGCAATGGGAAACTCAGATAATACCTAGAATGGAGGTAATTCACTATAGAGACCATCTTTAAAGGGATCTGACCAACGTCTCAGAATGAATCTAGTCTGGCTCCAAACAAAGGCAAATATCTAAGGAATTACATTCAAAACATTTCCTGAATTTTCTTATCGGTAAGTAATTAAGTTGGTCCACCTATTGGTTATTAAAGGAACACTATAGGGTCAGAAAGATAAACATGTATTCCTTCGCCTATAGTGTTAAAACACCATCTAGTCCCCCTGGCCACTATTGCACCCCTAAATATAGTAACATCTTACTTGTATTCAAGTCTGCAGCTGCTGCTTATGCCCCTGATATGCCTGCTTCTGCTGACATCTTCAGAAGTGTTTATCACAGCCAATCACAATGCTTTGACATATGATTGGCAGAGCTTGTCAAGAAGGCAGATCAGGAGCAGAGCCAGAACTAGCCAAACACAGCCCTGGCCAATAAGCATCTCCTCATAGAGATGAATTGAATCAATGAATCTCTATGAGGAAAGTTCAGTGTCTGCATGCAGATGGTGGAGGCACTGAATGTCAGTCACACTGTGCAGCACTGCCCCAGAAAGCACCTCTAACAGCCACCTGATGAGTGGCCAGTGTAGGTATCACTAGGCCGTGATGTAAACACAACCGTTAACCTGAAAAGACAGTGTTTACTGCAAAAAGCCTGAAAGGAATGATTCTACTC